TCCCCAGACGCAGGAGCCGGGCTTGGCGGCTTGCAAGGGCAGAAGGGCGGCGGGAGGAGAGTCCCTGAGGAATCCCAGGCAGCATCCGGGGCGCTTTCCCGCGTCCCGCCTGGTCCAGGCTCGGCGGCTGCAGCATCTCTTCCTCGCCGCGGGTTAGGAAGCGCTCCTTCCCGGCCTTCGCCGCCGGCCCAACTTTTGGTTTTCTTTCCCTTCCTCAGGATTCCCGACGGCGGCAAACCCCCCCTCCGCGCCCCCCTCTCTTTCCCCTTCTTCGCACGCTTCGGGGGGGGGGGCCGGAGCCGAGGGAAGTTCCTCGGAGCCGGGGGAGGGGGGAGGGCGCTCCGGCTCCAGGACCTCGTCTTTCCCCGTCTTACCTGCGGGGGATATCCGGAGGGGTCCTTTGTGCCTCCTAGTCCCACATTGTCACCCGGAGAGGCGCCTGTCACAACTGGGAGTGACATCAGCCCGCAACAATGAAATCAAATGCTTGACAGGCGAGGGAGGCGCAGGCCAAAGCCTCGGGACTCTTTTGCTTCCCTCCCTCCCTCCGCGCGGACTCCGGAGGAACAATGCACACTGGGTAAGACCATCTGCCAAGGACAGGGGCATTCCGTCCGCGCGCGCGCCTCTCTCTCTCTCTCTCTCCCGCCCCCCCCCACCCGCTGCCCGCGCGCCTCTTTCTCCTCCCCGCGGGCGATGCAGATCGCGCTCCCTCTTTTGTGCTTTGCATTTTTTCCTGGAAGCCGCTGAGCGGGCACGGCCAGTTGGGTGGTGTCCCGACCATCAAGGGCAGCAAGTAGAAGAGCAGAAGGCGGGAGGAAGGCTTCATCTTCCGCCCAGGCTTTTTCTTCTGGCTACCCTCACGGGCCTTTCCTCTTTAATTGTTTGCACCAAGATCCAAGGGTTGGCAGGTGGTGTCCACGTAAGGAGAAGTCGTTGAGGCCAGAGCCAGAGATGGCGGGTACTGGCCCACTGCTATGCGATGCCCCTGTGGCTCCTGTGTTTTGAAAGACGTCGTTTCGTCGTTTCGTTGAGTCGTTTAGTTGTGTCCGACTCTTCGTGACCCCATGGACCAGAGCATGCCAGGCCCTCCTATCTTCCACTGCCTCCCGTAGTTGTGTCAAATGCATGTTGGTTGCTTCGCAGACACTGTCCAGCCATCTCATCCTCGGTCGTCCCCTTCTCCTCTTGCCCTCACACTTTCCTCACATCAGGGTCTTTTCTAGGGAGTCTTCTCTTCTCATGAGATGGCCAAAGTACTGGAGCCTCAGCTTCAGGATCTGTCCTTGCAGTGAGCACTCAGGGTTGATTTCCTTTAGAATTGATAGGTTTGTTCTCCTTGCAGTCCAGGGGATTCTCAAGAGCCTCCTCCAGCACCACAATTCAAAGGCATCAGTTACAGTTGGAGGACTTTTTCACTCTTTCCTTGTGGTTATTTCTTTTAATTTTTGTAAAAGTCTAATCTTAACTTACATTTCTGGAGTTATTTGAATTATCTATTACTGTTAGTCACTTGAGCACCACTCTAAATTTAATAAATTCATAGGAATTTAGTAAAATATATTCGATCAGAGTGTCTGTATCTGTAAAGAGCATTTTAAGACCTCGAACAGAACATCTAGAAGGGATGAAAGGAGGTACATCTTGCAAGTCATGCCCCCTGGAAGCCTTGAGTGGGTGCAACTTGCATTTTGGGGGCCCATTTTTGGAAGGGCTGAGGTGATGTGCTGCCTTGAATGATCTGCTGGGGGAAGGGGGAAGCATGCCAAGGTCAGGACTGAAGCCTATAGGTTCAGCCTATAGGGGAAGCATGCCCGTGTACGCATGGAGAGTCACTCATGTGACAAGAGTGCAAGACCAAATCTGCATGTGGGGGACTCAGAGCCAGAAGGTGCATGAGAGAGAGAGAGGAAGGGAGGGAGGGAGGAGTGAGTGAGTGGTTGTGTGCTTATGAGAGTGGGTGGTACACATGTATGCAAGAGAGAAAGGGAACAAGGTTACAAGCAAGAAGGTATACATGCAAAAGACAGAGCAAGTGAGAGCAGTCGGGTGTATAGGCATTCGCTCACATGTGAGAGAGTGAGTAGAGCCACCTAGAGTGGT